ACCTTTGCTTCTACGTCATGATCTCTGCAAGCAGTAAGGCGTGCCAAGGCGTACCTTTCATCCTGTCGTGAGCAGGTGGAAGGGTGAGAATGTACATCGGCGGTCCCACAACCCGCCCGGGTATTAGGAGGACTCACTCCCGCTGTGCGGATGAGTCGCGTGAACTAGAATGCTCTATAGAGCGAATGCCTGCCGATCCGCCACGAGCATGTTGTTCTGACGGATTAGGTGGCTGATAAAGGGGTGTCCGATTAATTGTGTGCTTGTTTATTACATAACAGAACAGACTATTAATTGAATGTTCACATGCAATTACAGGGTTATTAAGACACGGAATAAATGATGCATTAACTAACAAACTATTATTAAACAGAACAGACTATCAATTGAATGTTCACATGCAATTACAGGGTTATTGGGTCACGGAATAAATGATGCAATAACTAACAGACTATTAGGTTGGTGCATAAGTTTCCCCCCCCCCCCTGCTTGATCCCTCCGTATTTCAATTGCATGGATGTTGGTATTTCATCATCACGTGTGCATGACAGGCTATAATGCCGCACAATTACCAGTGCAAAACCATGTCACAGTGGTGATTGTGCGGCATTGTGGCCTTCTTCGGGTCCCAGCCCCCGTCCTTCTGGAACGATGGAACCGACAAGCTGCCTGAGCGTTGGCGTCGAGTAGTGGATGGTGATGGTGCATACCTCTAATTAAGGCTGGTTCGCTATTGAGATATTTTACAAAAAAGTCGGGAGAAAGAACTTATGCACTAACCAAATATTATTACAATACGGAATATCAAAAGCAAGGATAAGGCATGACTAGAAAACAGCGGAACTAACCGGGATGAGGCATGCGAGCGTGGTAGCGCTTCGGTCCATAAGGCCGTGAATGATTCGAGGGAAGTGAGCAGCCGCTCAGTAGGACGACAGAAGACGACTGACGCGCGCGCGAGCTGACCAGAGAAGCAGAGTAGCTGCCCGCGCTCCCTGTTCTTCCATAGTTCATCCAGATGTTCAATGTAGCGTGGCGAATATGCCACGTAGTCTTTCAGAACTTTTGCGACACAGCCGATGGGAAATCCGATCTGACTGCGCTCCAAGCCATGCCCTCGTCACACGCGCTGTCGTTGCAGGGACCATACAGTACAGGACGGCGAAACTTTCCCGAACAGTAGACTGCGCTCCTAAGCTTACTTCAGTTCCGAGCCGTTGGATCAGAGTAAAATGTAAATTAAATCGTTCAAGGTTCTCTAGGCTACATGCCATGTAGTCGTTCAGAATTTTTTGGCTCATTCAGACCTGCTGGGGGGGGGGGGGGGGGGGGGGGTGGGGGGGGTATTATACATTTTCTTAAAGGCAGCGCCCACGTTCACTTGATGTTCCTACGCCCTTTCTGGATATCATAGCCCTCCCCATAAGGATGCAGTATGTACTAGTTTTGCATCTCAGAAAGGCGAGAGGATAGCGCCTATCGCTAGTAAAGAGTCGACCGCCTGGCGATCACACGCCCAACTTCATTTCTAATGGTTGCCTGATGGTGCGGTTGTTCCATTGCTGCTTCTCTCCACGTCGTGTGGTGAGAGTGAGGTGATAAGGGGAAACAGCTGAAATCAACAAGTGAGACTCGTGCAACCACTCCTTCTCTTCGCTTTAACACGGGGTATTGAGCTTGGCGGAAAGTTTCTGTCAGATATTTTGTCAACTAAGGCTTTCTTGTTTTACTACAGAGGAGTGTAAGATTCAAAAATTGTACAGCAGGTAACTGCGAGGTCCTTGGCCACTGTTCTGGCACGGTCTGCTCGTTTAATGGATGCCATCGCCCTTCACTATGCAGGGAGGACCACGGACGCAAAGTTGGACACATATCAATTTCGACTTGAACTTGGGTTATGGAGGTTTTCTCGTCCGCATAACGATCGATTACGGAAGGCAACTTGCTATTAGAAGGGGCGATGTCTGTGCTACACAAGTGCAAGGGGAGAGAGATCAAGCTCCATTGCATGAGGTACGGCTCGAACTTTTTTGGACCAAGTGCGTTGCACTCTCTTGGTGAGGGCCGGCTGTGCGGACAAATTTTTCCCTCTGATCCACGATACGCCTTAGATCTCGTAGCTGCTTTGCGTACGCCTTGACCAAGGAAGCAGCTTCTTCATCCAGCAGTTTCCCGACCCATAGCTCCCTCAAGCTGAGTTGCAGGTAACCCAAACCTCACTTCGTCATCAAAACTGTAGGCTCCCTAGGCTCCCGCCTTGAAGAGTCACTGTCGTGGTAAGGTTGCTCGATGATTGGGGGCATCGTGCTTATTCAGCTCCATCAATTTGGCATCTGCAGCTAACACGCTGGCGTCAGGGTGGTAGGTGAAATAGTTTGTGGAAGTTGTTGGATGGGTCGGGGCTGATGGTAGCGGATAAAATCCTTGTGCATATTGCAGAAGAAGGAGCAAGAGGCAAGCGAGTGGTACTAACAGAGAGACCACTCCTTGTTGTACAAGAGCTTACATTACCGGTTACCCCTCTTGCTAATGAGCAAGTAATTTGAGTTCGAAAATAAGTGACAAAACTTTCCCGCCAACCTAATAAAAACCGGCTATTCAGTTTGAAACTCCTTATAGGGCAGTTTGCATGTTTTCTTTTTTTGATTTTTTTTGCATTAATAGGTTGCGCCTGCTGCATTACCTCTTTACTACCGTTGGAGGCCGCATACCCATCAAAATTTTTGAACGCTGGCGCTGCCTTTACGATGTTTCGCGACGACGCTGGCGCTTGTTTTGTTACGGTTTACCAGGCTTGTAATCTGCTCTTATTCTCTGGTTATGGATTAATGCAGTTGGCTGGGTTGGCTGATATAAGTAATAGAGGACAGTTATTGAAATGGCGATTGCAAATAGTAAAATAATGAAGTTCAGACTGACTTTTCGATTATACCTGCATTGGATTCGTTTTCCTGCCGTTTGCACCAGAAATATTCAGGGAGTAGTCGTTAGATGTTTATTGTGAGGCGAGGTAGATGTTAACTGTGAGGCTAGGTGGCCTCGCTAGGAGATGTTTGTTGATCCAAGACGCGGTGATCTTGGATCGTGTAATATATAGAATGCTATATCAATCTAGGAGTTCTTCTCAGTTGAAGAGGGATCACGCCCAAGGTATCCAGTGCCAGCTACCGCCCAGAGGTTCCTAATCGCATTGCCTCAGATTCTATTCGAGTCACAGGCAGTCAGTTATTTATTTTAATTAATTTTATTATTTAAATATAATATTGTATGGTTGGTTTAATATTGTTATTGTTGTTATTTATTTAATTTCATGAGGTGCTGCCCTAAGAGATGCGCTGCTGGAGTAGCCGTAAACTCCGCCGATGATAAAGGTCAGTGTAAAAGGTGTAAGAAAGCTTGCTTGGCAAGTCTATGCACAAAAGAGAATTGAGGATCCATTGGTCAGAAAAGATTCCATACTGTCAGCTTCCGGCGCGTGTTGCCTCCTCAGTCCTGATTCACCCCTGCCCTAAGGCAGCGTTCATACTTCCGACAGCAGCGGCGATCGCGGCGACTTCGGCATTCGCCGCGATCGTCGGTACATGCAGACGCGCCCGCAACGGCTATTGACTTGGACGCGGCTCCGAAGGCGTTTTCAGGGAAAAGCGACTCAAATTTCGATTTCAATTTCAGGCTTTTTTCCCTTTAAGTGCCATTTTCTTAGATACTGAAGCTTGGTTTGACACAAGAAAGGTGAACACAACTTAATGGCTTCTGTTTTCTCTCTATTCTTCATTTAGGGTAGGTTTTTAATGATTCTTTTTTTTCATTCGTCGTGTTTATATGTACATGAGCACTAATCATTTTGCGCAGCGAGCCAAACACCTGTTGATGTTGCGCAAAAATGATTAGTGTTTTGGTTCCTGGTGAAGTTTCTTCCTGTTTCTTTTTTTTCTTCGTTGTTTGAACTCGACTTGTAAACTATAAATGTTTTGGAAGTTGGAACAGTTCAGACGATAGGAACTTTTGAAGGCGCTTGTATAAATTGAAACAATAAAAACAAAAAGAAGCTCACCCAGGAAATGGAGTTGGCCTTATCCGACCTAAAAAGAAGTGAAACCTCCTTACCTCATATTCCAGATCCGCTTATGTATAGAAAGTCGTAAGTTATCAGTTAGTAGCCATTATTAAGAGAAAAGAAGGTCTCACAAGTTGGATTCCCTTATTTATCAAGCGAGCGGTCCATAATAGCGTTGGGGCGCGCTCTGCCATGTAGGCAGCGTTCACATTTCGCGGCATCGCGGCGATCGCCGCTGCTGCCGCGAAATGTGAACGCTGCCTAACCTCCGAAGAACCTCCCCCTAGCGAGCAAGTACAACTCCTTCCTGTTGATTTTCCTAACGGGCTTCACCCTGCCGTCGGGCACCAGCGTCACAAATTTGTGCCAAAGCGCCTCAACACACAGAATTCGTTGAATGCTCGTCTCAAGGGATAGCTTGTTCCCCTGAAAAAAGAAACATCACATCACCTTGGCGAGAGAATACGTGGTCCGTGCGGCACGAGAGTGGCCAATCGCACCTGCGCGGACGGCGTTCATCTTTTTCCAAAAGAAATGTGATAGTGCGGCTCGGGAGCAGTTTTACACCTCTCTCGGCCCAATCCCTTTCGGGGAATTTCTTGATTACAGCATGGCCTGAATTTCAAAGGGTGTGGCCGTAAAGGGTGAATAGAGCCGAGTAGCGCGACTGGCGCAATCAAAGCGTATTTCGAATGATCTGAATGATGGAAATTCATTCAGAAACAGTTGCACCTGTAGATCTATTACGCCGAAGATCTCAGGATAGAGGCCGTTGATTGCGCGCTCCATTCCACACATACAGTACCACGGCCTCCGCCCTTTAATACGAAAGTGAAGGCGTTTCTGTGGTGGATCCTCCATGCAAGTTGCTGTTGATGTCGATTTTGTGTGGTTCAACTGTCGTACTTTTGACCGTTCTCAATTTAAGTGATATATTTTCAGTATGTCGTCTGATGAGAGCGATGGCGACTATCAGGAGCAACGAGAGGAAGAAGAGGAGGAGGTAGTTGTCTTTATTGCCGTTGGTCACATTAACGAAGTTTATCTAATTAGTTGATTATGCTGTAATCTCGCATTTAGGTGAATAGTGGGTCTGGTTCAGAAAACGGAAACGATGAAAATGAAAATGGCTCAGGAAGTGAGGACGAAGCACCGAAAAAGAAAAATAGGAAGAGAAAAGTATATGGCTTATTCTGTATGCTCTGCTGATAAATACTCATTTCACTAATGCAGATTAATTCGGAAAGTGAAGACGAGGGGACTGGCGACAGCGAGAACGAAGAAGACGAAGAAGAGGAAGGTTCGCCTAAGAGTTCGAAAAAGCGCTCAAAAAAGAAACGGGTATTTTACTTATTCTCGTCGTTTGTTTGCTTTTAACTCTTTTGCTGCATTTAGCCAAATCACCCTACGGATCTATTCCTTATGAAACTATTTTTTTACTACTTTTTTTGTATGCGAGAGTACAAGTAAACAGACACGGTAGGATGTAACGCTAATGTTCACCGTAAGTTTACGGCTGGGTGCTGTAGCGAACTTACCCGATTCTTAGAGCAACTGATCAAATTTTTTTTGACTAGGTGCGAATTGTGCGAAAGCGATCTTAGAAAGATACACGGTAAAGCTGATCGACGCTCTTCTAAAATGCCGCACGAGTTCTGTTGCTATTCAGAATCGTAGGCGTTTATTGGATGCTATATAGCCTCTACAGTGACTTGGGAGGGCTAGGCAGTGAACAAGTCGGTGTTCTCATCTTTGCAGACCAATCCGATCTGGTACCTATTTACCGGCTCAGACAATTGGGACTGGGTTATCCTGGGTGGGAGTGGACCCCGGATTTGGCCCCATACCGCGCCCAGGATGCTGTTCGGTCCACACCACCTCCGCCCATTTTGGAAGTAAAGGGAAAGAATTACGTGGGGCTGATAAACGTGGCGAGTTTATCGAAAGCCAAAAGCTAGTATAGTGTTGCTGGAAGATGTTTGAGTATAATGGCATTCATGTTAAGAAGGATCGTCGTCCTCGCGGTTCGGACTTCATTTTGCAAGATGTCGATGTTGATGACGAAGAGCAGGACGAGGACGATTGGGATGATGAAGAAGATCGAGCTCTTGAACCAAATGAAAAGGAAGAGGTTTGTTAATTACGGCCAGAAGTTGCTGTGTTTCATAAGAACTAGGAAAATTACAATCTCAGGCTGAAAAGTACATGAAGCAGCTTGATGCGGAAAGAAGACGGAACGAAAGAAATAAATTCGCGTGAAGTTCACTCCTTTATTGATTGCTCCTGGCAGACGACTATCTTGAAGGGGGTTTCAGGAATATGAACGAAGATGAAATTGGTCGATATTTCGAAAATAAATACAAGACACAGCCCATAAGAGACCTCGTTGAAGAAGATTCCGCTTTGGGTAAGGAATCGATCTTGTTACGATCCTCCGGTCGTTAGCAGCATTGTTTTAGATGATATTTCACAACATGGACTTCTACCTTCTACGAAGGATCCAAATCTATGGATTGTGAAGTGTAGGATGGGCGAAGAAAAATTGGTTGCATTGCAGCTGATGCGCAAATATTTGGCTTTTGAGAACACAAACGAGGTAACCTGTTAGAGCCCCATCACTGATGTGTTTTAAATGAACATTTCTTTCAGCCTCTCCAAATAAAATCCATTGTTGTGAAAGAGGGCTTGAAAGGAATAATCTACATCGAAGCCTTCAAACAGTCACATGTTGCCAGTGCAATTAATGGCGTCTCCGCTTTGAATCAATTCAACGTTACGGTATGAAAATCTCTTCGGTTCCATTTTTTTCAGTCTTTCACTACCACTGCATTGTTCAGATGGTACCTATCAAAGAAATGGTTGATACTTTGCGTGTGGTTAAAGACGTTCCTGCACTGAAAGTCAACTCATATGTCCGACTCAAACGTACCATGTACAAAGACGATCTTGCTCAGGTAAGAGTTCTTTTTGCAGCCGAATAGTGCGTTCCATTTAATTTTTCCATTAAGATTTGGATTTCAGGTGGATTGGGTGGATGTGGCGCAAAGTAAAGTGAACCTGCGCATTGTCCCCAGAATTGATTATACGAGAATGAGAGGAGCATTGCGAACCGTCAGTATTGAATACTTTCGATACAGGCTTTTTTTTGAAATTTGTATGCAATTTTTCAGGAAGCGGATCGTAACCATAAGGTTAAGCGTCGTCCCATGCCTCGACTTTTTGATCTGGATAGAATCAAGTAAGTACTTCTGATGAGTATGTGGCAAGACAGTCGTAATTCGCCGTGGCGGTGGGCATCGCGTGGACGGCGGGCCCGCTAATGGCGATGGGTTTTATGTCGTAGATAGCGACAGCAGACAATTTATTCAAAAATAAGCATATATATATTCACAAGTTATTTGTTAGGCGTAGTGTGCACGAAATACTGTGCTCCAGTTGGCGGGCCATTGAAAAGAAAATACAGTACGGAGCGGCAAATTTCGATTGTCTTATCCCCTTCCAGGATGTTGTATTGCACCTTTTTTGTGATCATGTGGCACCCACTAGTCGTTTTTCAAAGTGTCTATCTCTCAGGGAAATCGGAGGAGAAGTTACCAATGACGGCGACTTTGTTATCTTCGAAGGAAATAGCTATAGGCGTGGATTCCTCTACAAGTCCTTCCCGATGAATGCTATAGTGAGCTATAAAGAATATTCTATGCATTTAGCATCAATCAGTCATGGATTTTCAGATTGCCGAAGGTGTCAAACCGACCTTGGCTGAGCTCGAGCGCTTCCAAGACACCAGTGAGGATCTCAAGAAAGAGTGTGAGTGTTATGCCTTGTCAAATTCATGCGGCGGTTTCAGAAAGCCATGTCACAATAAAATGTGACATAGCTATAACTCCCCACCAATGCATCGAAAATTATATTGGTGAGGGTACGTTCCATGGTCTCAATTACCACATACTTTGCTGCTCAAAAAAACATTTTGTTCGCAGTTCAAACTATTATTTGGCCACAATAATTGCAGATGTTGCCTTCTTGTGCGATGAACCGTCAACATTCACGCAGCTAGCCGTTACGTCGGCTTATTGATATTCAACGCCGCTTGCTCAATGAGTGTCACGACACTTAATATTAGGCTTTGTCCGGAATGTTTTAAAGAGACAGCCCCCGCGCTCGAGTAGTACATGGTCGTCCTTCCTTGTGCAAGTAGTACAGCCCCCAAGCTAGAGACTGTCCCACTCTATTCGTCTGCACAGCGAGCGAGAAGCGAGCTACAGCCGCTGTAAGTTCTAGTTCTAACGCCTGCTCAGTTGGACCGCCTTACTTGCTAGATGTCCTCCGACGGAGGCCACTCAGTTGTTCTTAGTTGGGGCGGCGGGCATTGCTAATGCCCATGGATAATTCTGCTCCCCTTTATTACAGTTTACTCATTGGAGGTATATACATTCAATTCAACTCATTTCGCGAGGTGAAACGCGTAAAAAGCACGAGTGATGCAAAACCTCGACGCACAAAACGTGCGCTACCGTAATCCCAAATTCAGACACCGCGTTGATAAAATTCCTTTTTCCTTCCAAGAGTTTTTCCTCTGCGTTTTTGTTGTTTTCTTTTTGTATTCTTTTTTTGCACTGGATGATATCAACTACTGCGAGATGTGATAGAGAGATTTGTGAGCTAGGGGTTGCACAGAGACCGCAGGGAGGTGTGACTGTGAGGGAGCGATTTTGTTTGTTGTTCTGGAGGACGCTTCTTGCCTGTTTTCTTCTTTGGGAGATTACTTATCAGCTACTGTTTCATAATTGGAAAGCAGCTATCCATGAGACTTTTATCGCGGGAGCTGTCTTTAACTTTGAAGAAGTGTAGCAAGCGAATGTCCCAGCAGAAAATCATATATTAAGCGCTATGAGAAAGAGAAATGTTTGTAGAATAATCCTAATGCTGGTTGGTGTTATTCTCCATTGTTGGTATGAGTTAACATTACCTGAAAAATGTGCTAGCGCACACGACTCCAACGCCTTCTAATTCATCGTCACCGTCTGGCTGCTATTTAGGTGAAATAGGGGGAAGGAAGAGGCACCGTCACCAGTGCTAGCTAAAAGACGCTCAGAAACTATCTGTGATAGGAGATCAATCGGTCTCTTACATGGAAGTTCAGCTTGGATGTTGCGTACGCCCCCGCATCCTCGGTACTCACTTCATTCTAGCTCCCACGCAATGTAATCCCGCCTAAAATTAAGGGTTCGGAATGGACTATTTTTATTATAACTATGAATTCCTATCTCTCACTGCTGTTGATAAATGTTAATTAAGCTGGTCAATATTTCGAAACTTTCTGACGCACTAATAATATACCTATATGAATACGAGTATTTCTTTTAATTTGCGCATTCAATTAACTGGTTCCATCCCTTGAATTGTGACTTTTTAAACTTTTTCCAAAGATTCATTTTGTAGAACG